TCAAGAGGTTTTTTTTTTGGGGAGGGGGAAGTGTTCTTTCTTGGTGTTCAGTTAAGAGACATAACTCTGTTTAATAATTAAATGCTTGCTTTATATGCAAGTTTGTGCCTCTAAGAGGATATCTGAATTGTCGTGTCGTAGAATTCATTAAAAAAAAAGGAAAATCACATGATAAAATCTGAGGTTAAGTGTGAGGTTAGTCTCATAAAGTACTTATGCTTTAATATTCATTGCATGTAGAACATGACAGAATGTATGTCTATATATTACCAATATTATAAGTTCAGTAATGCTAAAATGTGATAACGTGTATAACCCTTGTCACACACAAAGAAAAACTTTGAGCTATTAGTCCTTGTGAAACCACTGTAACTTACAATGTTGTAGCAGTTTAGGTAAATGATGAATTATTCTGTGGTTAGTGTACAGAAGTATTCTATTGTTTTGTAAATATATTGTTACTTGTTTTCAGAGAGCATCTTATATGCATAAATGTAAGAAACAGAACTTTAGTCTCATGAAGATCTTGGATCGTAGGTCTGAAAAATATGATTAACAACCTTTATCCTTTTATCTTTATCCTGGCAATGGTATTGTTAACTTTCAGGAGTTAACACATCTGCATTTTGATCCATAGGATTTTTTTTTTTCTTGTTTAAAAAGGTTCTCAGCGCTATTGTTTAGGAAATGTTTTGAAGCGTAGTAAATAGCCTAAATATGGCTTGGCTGCCATTTCATTGCCAGCTGGCTAGGGACAGTTGTTCTTGGAACTAATGCCAGAAACCTTAAACAAAAACTTGGAAAGTCGTGTTTGGTGAGAGCTGATGTGTGGGAAGCAGACATTCAGCTGTTGAGCTGAAGAACCGAACTAGCATTGCTGAAGTACCCTTGCTGAGTCCTCCAGCTGGTTTCAGATACACTTTTAAATTCAAAAACACTTGGGCTTTAGTCTGGAAAAAGATCCTATTTTCCTTGTAAGACTTGCCTGAAGAATGCCAGCATTTGGTGGTAGAAGTTGTTTGCTGAGATCTTTTAACTGTAAGTTGGATATATTTTCCTTAACAATTGATGTGCTGTGAGTATGCTCAGTTTTTTATGTGCTTTTGCATTAGATATCTTTAGCACTGAAACGGCATGGGCTTACATGATTGTGGTGTATTACTGCTTTTTTTTTTTTTTTGCCATGTAAGTGTTATGAAAATGCATCTCTAATGTTCAAGACTTCTCTGGAAAAACAGTTTGCATACTGAAAAGTGATTCAGTCTCTCTGGAAGCCTTATAGCTGAGGCAGTCCATCTCTTTGGAAGTGCCATAAATGCATGGGCAGAATCAAAAATAATGCTGGGCTGAAGGAGTGCTACCATCCAGAGAGAATAGTTCTGCAAAATAGTAGCATTAACTGTGAGAACGTAAATTCTAAGTAATACCAAGTGAATTGATTCTTCTCTGTGGGTGAGTGTTTAATTTGCTTGGTTTTGGAAAGGTAATATCACTGTTGTTAACAGCTACAGCGTATAAATCCATAGGAATTGCACTGCAAAAGATGTACCTGAATTGACAACAGCAGTTTTCCCCACTAAGTTTTCTGTGCTTAGATCGTTGGAGAGTTGTGACTGCCAGAGCATAGCCATCGATACATTCACTCTTTCCCTGTGTGCCTGCGTGCTTCCTCTACCCTGTTTTTGGTGTTTTCTTGCTACCTCCCTTTCTGTTATCTCACTAACATTTGAAACTATTTTTTTTTTCTTCCTAGGAAGAGATGATGTGGAAATAGGAGAGGCATCAGAAAGTAGAAGGAAAAATTAACAGTACTCTAAATTAATTTTATTTCTCCCTTAGAAACATTCTTTAGGTTTATCTCATGACTGTGTCACGCTAGCAATTAAGTTCTTGGTAGGAATTACCTAAAGATTGGTAATTAGCTGCTGGTTAGTGATCCAGAGCACACTTCTAGTCAGCTGTTAATTCTAGAGCAGTGTTCTATGCTAACAGGTTTTTTTTTGTTTGTTTGTTTTTGCTTGTTATTTTTTAAGTTGGTTTTAGCAAGTGATCGTGTTTTTATTAAAAACAAGACTTCTGTGTTTTTGGAGTGTACATGTGTATATATGCATCTATGTATTTGTGTACATAGGTATAAACAGAGACATGTAAGTATGCGTGTAAACACTTACAAGTATTTATTTAGATCTTTATGTCTGTAGAAAGAGTATTTTACCAGCAAATGAAAACTTGGAATGTTTCCTTGAGTGGTTTTTGAACTTCTTTAGGAAGACGTGGTTTTGTGATATGGTCCAGCGATAAGTGCTGGTAGACAGATCCTATTCTAGTGTTTGCTATTCATTCACCCCATGTAAATGTTCTGTAGGTGTGATTCAGTTGTCCCTGTTGTGTAGTGAAGGTAAAGCTTGCTGTGCCTCACTGGGACATGTATAAATGATGTGAAATGCTTTGAACACTTGAGCATCTGTTTAATTCCCCGAAAGGTCTGTCATAATGGGCTCAGTAGTGTTTAGTTTTGTTGCTCTGGACAGGGATTTACTAGCAAAACTCATATCTATCAGGAAAAGGGAATTGGTGTGTGGATCTGTTAATGCTTGGGGATCAGTTTCTGTTCTCAGGATGTAGCTGGTATGAGCGTTAGGAGCTATGTATGCAATGAACACTTTGACATTCACTCAAGAGGGAAGGGAGAGAATCTCCTTTCTGCTTCTTAGCACAAAGGCATACTTCGCTCCCGGCATCTGGGCAATCACTGATCTCATTTCGGAGTGTTTATTTTTATCCAATTTATTATAATCATTAGCTTTATTAGATAGTGAGGGAGATAAGTTAATGATTTAACTAGTCTAATCCATGGAAATGCTGGATTGAGCTTCCGTTCAGGTTCCACCTGATCTATATTAGCTGATTACTTCTTGAGGCTTTACTTTGTTTCCTTTGAATCTCATAAAGATAGCAGTGCTTTGTTTGTATTCTCCCTGTATTTATGCATGGAGCTCCTATGCCATACTTTGTTGTTGTTGCTTATGAGATTCGCAGTTGCTGTTCAAGGTTAACTCATGTCTGACTTCAGTGGTTTCTTCCCACCAAAGACAGTAGTACTGTTAGGTGTGTAAGAGCAGACAGACAATCAGACTTTTTGGTGTACATAGAAACTGGATAAACTCAATGGTTGCATTTTTTTATCTGCATTTTTAATAAAAACGTTGTGTATTGTTTATTGTTGTTGACATTCATGTTTTGGTTTTGCATAAGCCAGTAGCAAAATCATGGAGGCTGCTATTTAGTTTTTTTTTTTTTTTTTAATTTCATTTTATCTCCCAGACATCAAGGCATAAGCATCAGTAAAGAAAACAAGAGAAGCTCATCTGTAGTGTCAGGGCTTCTGGACATATTTCCTGTTTTATTCTTTACCTTTTGTGATTGTCTTTTAAAAATGGAAGACTTTCAAAGCACAGTATTAATTGTCTCTTTCTGTTTGTTTCACTTTTTCACATGAGGTATTAAAGTAGGTTGTAGAATAAATGGTACAGATGCATATTTTTAGAACATCTGTTAGCCTTTTACAATGTCAAAGTAAATCCTGCAGGTTTAGAATACAGAATCTCCTAAGTATGCTATGTCTGCGTGAAGTTGCTTAATGAATTTAGCATGCTCTGTGCAGCCATGCAAGATTTTTTTTCCTTGTTGATTAAAAACCATCCTCCAACCTTTAAGGTTGGTAGCTTTTGAAAGTAGCATATGGTTATCAATCATTATTAATACTAATAGAGAAATGTATTTGTATGAACACTAATAAATGTTTGTGTTAAAGAATCTTGTTTCTGCTAAGTGCTATGGACTCAACTTACCCAGAACTACACTTCTCTTCCTTAATTCATGCTTTGAAAAACTAAATGAACATAGCGCGTACAAGATTACTTAAGAAAATAGGTCAATAAGCCTTAGAGTTTGACATGAGAAGTGACTGGAACATGAGGGGTTTTCATCCAGTAGACAATGCACTTGATTCTAAAATGGTTATGGTTGTATATTTGCTGAACTCACATCTTGGTACTTGTGCCTTTACCATTGAGTCAGGCTGTAGAGTATCTTTCTCTTGGTAGAAGCAATGAGAAATGAGTATAGCTTTCAGCTTTAGCGGTCTAAGGTTGGATCCAATTAAACTTCCAGCTAAACCTATGTGGTATTCTGCTGCTTACTGATCTTGGAGATTGAATAACTGCATTTTCACTGAATTTAAAATACGGTTTAGCGCTCAGTAACCCAAACGACAAACAATGCATGAAAAGGAGCAGGTTTCAGAGTAAGGAAAGAAGTGCATAGAATGGAAAATCTCTTGAAACCAGTCTCTGTCAGATTCTAGGCATTATGCTATTACATCGTGCATCTTCACTCATCTGGTTGCTTTTTAAGTTGAATGTTGTTTTCTGAACCTAATCTGCTAGTACAAGTCATCCTTTCCTGCTGTTATATCAGCAGAAAATGAAAAGAAACCAAGTGTTCCTCTTGCAGATAATGTTTACAGCACTGTGCAAGCTTTTTTCATAACCAGAAATTAAGCTCTGAACAGACATGGTCACTTGTGAGTTGGGAGTAACCCTGCTTTTCTTTGGTCTCTGGAATTGCTGGTATCGCTAAGGTTCACAGGGTTCATTGGGAATAATTTGGTCTTGCTCTCAGTGGTATTAAGATTGTAATGCTTCTGGCATATGGGCAGCTGTAAAGGGAGAAGACAAGATCATCAGCACATGAAATTTAACCAGACATACATTATCATAAACTAATAGAATGCACAAATGTGATAATGTTGATGTAGATACCCTTACAGTAAAGAGTAAAACCAAAGTGTATTGTGCCTTTTGTTTTAGTTGTTTTATTTTAAATATGCTGTTATAACCTGAGGTTGGCTGGGTTTCTAGTAAAAGGTTGATCTAAAGAAATTGAAGGGAGAATCCACCCACTCTCTTACTCATATATTTTCTTTCCTTTTGTTTTAGTTTGCAAATATGCCTGCCACAGGAAATGTGAAGAGAAGGTAAGCATATTTATTCTCCTCTGTACTTGCTGTTGATCCACATGTATTTGAAGTTTAGACTACAAATGCTGTGTCAACTAATTAAGGATATGATGATGATTAAATCAGATGCTTTTTTGTCAAAAAAGACTAACTTTTTACAGGGGTATTTTTCTTGACTTTAATAAAAAACAAAACAGGTCTTTGTGTAGTCAAAACATCTGCAAGAGTGGTTAAACTTCTCATTCCTCTCATAGGAGGACATGTTTCAAGTTGAAAACAGCAAGTTAGTTGGGTGAAATACAAACCACATGGTTACACCAGGGAAGAAAAAATGAGTGAGTGAATTGGCTATACATCTAAATTTTACAGCAACAGAGATTTAAAGGCAAATTTTTGGTGTTGGACTGTGAAAAATACAAACATATTATTAACTTATTTTCAGTGCCTACTTTAGATTACATCTACCAAGTTCAGTTTCATTACTAGATTCTTAATTTTTGAAAAAAACTCTGAATCCCTTTCACACAAGGAAATACCCAGTTCTGCCTCCTAGTTTATCCAGTAGTCTACAAAAAACAAAGCTGTTTTCAGTTTCTATTGCTTCTTAGTGTTGTCTGTTTCATGCTGGGCTTTGCTGGCCTTTTGTTCAAGGCAACTGTCATTGCCCATTTGTGTTTTCAAAGCTCAGAATGAGTTTTAGTTAAAACTGACTTGAATGTAGATGTTGAATATCAAGATGGAGACGCAGAGTGTCAAGACAGCAGAAATCTATATAAAAGCAAAAGGGCTATTCTTCAGCTGGTGAAAATCAGACGATTCATTCATAACATACAGAAACGACTGAAAAGGTACTTCTGTGGTGTCAGATGACTTAAAAATCCCCCATCCCTAGATTTGAACATCTTTGATTTACATAGAACATTGCAGCCTAAATGTTAGTGTTGGAGGGGTTTACTTTGATTTCCTAGAGCCATCTTATCGGGATAACATTTTCTGCTTTTAACTAAAACCACTGACCAGTGTTTGCTTTGCATGAAGACAGCATTTTTTATAATTAGAGCACTTAGCTTCTAGAGACCACAGATCTATTCCTGCTTCTTCTGCTGTTGACTTGATGTTTGACCTTGAGTAAGGATTTATTTTGGTGTTTCCAGGAAATATGAATAAATTCAAGAAAGAATTCTGCTTGAGATTTGTCAGGCCCTCTGGGGGAAGTTCTGGTAAACATAAGGGTCAGTTGGTTGACTGTCTCCCATTTCAAGTGAAAATGGTACTTATGTGTTTCAAAATCATTGTGTTACATGGCGTGCTGAATAAAAGTAGAATTTTGTGTGTTTTTTTTTTTTTTCTTTTTTTTTTGGTCATGAAATAAGATGGTAAAATGCAAATGGTTGTAATTAAATTTGCAAGAAAGGTATTTACAATCTAAATGTACATTTATTAATGATTAGTAATAGTTATGATTATTACTATAATTTATGTATTAGTAGAATTAGAGGTCTAGAAGTAGAAGGGAAACAGTTTTGTAGAAAGAAGTATGTTTTATTAGACCAGATGATATAATTGATATCTTCTTGCATATTAGCTTTGGTTCCTCAAATAGCATTTGCAGTTTGGAATTCTACAAGCTTCTGTGGGGAAGAACCTGGTTTGTTGGTAGCATTGGTAGCTTGCAGGTTAACTTGTGTATATGCTACATAGATCTAGTTTCCAGCAGTGTTGGTATAGAAATGATGCTGGAGGCTGTGGTAAGAAATTCTTTAAACTTGTTTTGGAGACAAATCAGATCATGCATGTACCTTATGTTGTAAACAGGAAAGTGTATTTTAACTAGTATTTATGCTGTTAGGCATTTGGGTGTTGAAAAGGTGGAGTGCTGGAAGTAAATAATAACACAATATTATCAAGATGCTCATATTATATATACTTTTTGTAACTATTTGAAAATAAATTACTAGTATGTATTACAGACAATAGAAAAATAAGATTGCGGGAACAAGATCTGATTGAGTATTCAGTGATTTCATATGAGAGGGTTAGAGGTTTTTTTCTGATTTTCAAAGTTGCAGGAGGACAACAAGTAGCTTATATCCAACATTTTTCTGGAAATGTTTTCTTTATACCTACTTAAATGAAGTCACAGTTGACTGTGTGGAATAATGTTATATAATCTTGTTATATTGGTGGTCATCCTGATTCAGATCTGATTTTTGCTTTTATTGCCTAACATGGCATCTGTATTTTCATTTGGTTATTGGATTAAGGCAGGAATGGTTCTCATAGCTTTTAAGCTGTACTGAGAATATATTAAGACCATCTAAGGATGTTACAGGCACCCTTGAGTAATAGATGTGTACCCATTATTATCTGCACTGATTCAGATTCAATTCTGTGGAAGAAGAATCATGGACTCAAGTAACTCTTTTCCTTAGAATATGTTTTAATTCCAAGACAAGTGTTACTCTCTGCATTTGCAATAAAGCTACCCCGTTCGCAGCTTATGGGAAATAACTATATTAGTTGAACTTCCCCCAAGAAAAAATGTGTTAGCATTTAGCTGAAAAGCATTTGGAAAGGGAAGGGAATGAGAACAAAGAATGTTGCACTTAGAATCATGGAATTATAGAACCACTAAGGTTTGAAAAGACCTCCAAGATCATCTGGTCCAACAATCACCCTACCACCAATGTCAACGACTAAACCATGTCCCTAAGCACCACGTCCAATCTTTCCTTAAACACCCCCAGGAATGGTGACACCACCACCTCCCCGGGCATCCCATCCCAATGCCTGACTGCTCTTTCTGAGACGAAATGTCTCCTAACTTCCAACTTGAACCTCCCCTGGCACAACTTGAGGCCATTCCCTCTACTCCTATCACTAGTTACCTGTGAGCAGAGGCTGACCCCCAGTTCCCCACAACCTACTTTCAAGTAGTTGTAGAGAGCAGTGAGCCTCCTCTTCTTCAGACTAAACAACCCCAGTTCCCTCAGCCACTCAGTCAATAAGACTTGTGTTCCAGACCCTTCATTTCTGACATCCTGTAGTCATTTTTTAAAAAAAATATGCATCAGCAGAGTGAAGCATTACTTGAAAGACTGCTGGGGTCATGTGTTTATAGAAGCATTATGCTCAAGTCTAGCTGTTTTATTATGCAGCTTTATTATTAATGTTGTAAACTCGTTTAGGTAAAAACAACAGCTCAGGCCTTCCACTGGCAGCACTACAACGCAGGTTTTAAGAGTTTGTCTAAAGAATTGCTTTGTTATTGCATCTAAATGAAAACTAAAAAAAAATATATATATATATATATAAATCAGCCACTAAAATAAAGTTTATGCAAACCTGAAAATAAAGAGACTCTGAATTTGATCAGAATGTACAAATGAAGGAAGAATCAAGTTTTGGAATCATTTGAGACATCAGCTGCTTTGTTTTATTCTAAAACCTGAATAGGTTCTGTGAGGGTTTTTCTCTTGTCCCTGGCAAATATAGTGAAAACAGACGCAGGCAAAAACTGTAGTAATATTTCAAAACATGGGGCAACACTGCGGGGAAAAACAAAAAAAAAGAAGCTACACAGACAAGTGAAAACAAGATGGTAAATATTAGACTACACAAATTCAGACTGTTGCACACAGTGCTATTAAATCAGTTGCAGGAAGATTATAACATTTGAAATTATGTAACATAAACCCACTAGATGATGCAGATACCAGCACTAAAATTAGATGAGCTATAAAGGCAAGATTAATTAAAAGCAAACAAAAACCCCAAAGCCCAAACTCCACTGTCTTAGAGTTGTTTGTGTGTGTGTGGGGTAAGCCAAAAACAAGGGAACACAGTGGACATGTGGGTATAAAATCTTAAGGGAGCTATTCATTTATGTCAAGTTACTGTTTTGCGATTTAGCCCTGAAAGGAGGTATGGGGGCATGACTGGTGGGGGTAAATGAATGGAGATAAAGCATCCACAAATTCAGAACAGATGTCAGGAAGTACTTTCATGTAGGAAGCAATAAATATGTGAACAGGTCTCCCAGGCAAATTTGGTTTTAGGTGAACAGCAGATGGGTTATTCGGGATTGAAGCAATCTAATCCCTTCTTGGGGAAATAGAGCTATGAGTGAGTGGGCTTTGCCATAAGGGGGATAGTGGATCAGTCTCCTCTGAAGAAGTCCCTGAACTTTCATAAGCTATTTGTGAAGCTGTTTGCTGCATCTCTGCCAGTGCAGCATCAGAGATACTGGTGTGCACAGGGCCTTATAGAGGCATTTGACCTCAGGTACAGCTTCTCAGTCTCTTTTGTATGCAGTACTCAATGGGCCTCTTTGTCATTGCATTGGCAGTGCTGGGATATGAGAGCACTGTTGCTCTGAGCCTCGAAAAGTTCATATCTTAATAGGAAGACACATGGTTATATGTGTAATGGGAATGTTCTAATGTTCTGGCAACACATATTCCTAGTTAGGTGTTGTACTGGGTCGATGGGCAGAGGCCAATGGCATGAGGTGCAACATGGCTAAGTGGCAGGTCTAGTTGTTGGTCACAACAACATGCAACGCTCCAGGCTTGGGGCAGAGTGGCTGGAAAGCTGTGCAGAGGAAAAGGATTTGGGGTTGCTGATTTTTGCTCACCTGAACATGAGCCATCAGTGTGCCCAGGTGGTCAAGAAGGTCAATGGCATCCTGGCTTGTATCAGGAGTAGTGCAGCCAGCAGGACCAGGGAGGTGGTCATCCCCCTGTACTCTGCTCTGGTGAGGCCACACCTTGAGTGCTGTCTTCAGCTTTGGGCCCCTCAGTACAAGAAGGGCATTGAGGTACTGGAATATGTCCAGAGAAGGGCTGCGAAGCTGGTGAAGGGCTTGGAGCACAAGTCCTGTGAGGAGCGGCTGAGGGAACTGGAGTTGTTTAGCCTGGAGAAGAGGAGGCTCAGGGGAGACCTTATTGCTCTCTGCAACCACCTGGAAGTAAGCTGTGGGGAGCTGGGGGTCAGCCTCTGCTCACAGGTAACTAGTG